CCGCCCCCATCCACCTCCCAGACAGAATTGTCAGCTGTTTTCAAACAGCTGGCAAGTCCCTCTAGGCGCCTCAACAGGAGACCACCTTATTTGCTCCACCCAGGGCCTGGGGAAGGGGATGGGGAAAAGGAGCACAAAGTCTCCTTGCCCTGCCAGAGGCGTGCAGCAGCTACAGAGAGCCACTGGCGGTTTTAAAAAAGATGGCTGTTCCTTCTGATGCCATGAACCCCTGGTGGGGGAGGAGACCTCAGACGTTCCCCCAGTCAACCAGGGCCTGGGGAAGCGCACAAGGTCTCTCACCCTCTGCCCTCACCCTGCCAGGGGTGAGCGGTGGCTAGAGAAAAACATCAGCGGTTCTAAAACAGTCAGCATTTCTCTCTAGCCCCTGTGCGCCCTTGGCAGGGGGAGTGGCAGGGCAGCTGTGGGCTGTGTCTACCCTGCAGAGGCCCCTTTGCACACTCCTGATTTACAAAATACACCAGTTCTTACCTATTCGCAGATCTCTTTGTAACACACTCTTATCATAAATATAGAAGGACAAACACTGGAATGTTCTTGGAATCTCGAAGTAGAACTCTTCACCAAAGAAAGGACTAAGAAAAAAAAAGAATAGAGGAGTTGAAATAGCAACATATTTTACTGTAAAATTTATAGAAGATGACCTGCTATATACTGTAGCAAGTTAAATTTTAAACCAGAACATTGTAGTAATGTGTCACAAAATTTGAAGTCTATGCAGGAGAGATTTTTTCCTCTTTTCCAGAAAGTTTGAGTTATGAATGGAAGTCTCACTCCTTCCCCGTTTCCTACCCCAGTTTATGAAATAACTCCAGAGTTTGAATGTGTTGTTTAATTGTTTCTGTGTCCACAACATTCTGGTCTATGATGACAATGTAATTAATCAAAAAAAGTAAGTCAAGCACTAAAATTTCAGAGGAATAAACTGTTCTTTCAACATCTTTCATCTTTCCAAAAAAGAAAGTCTGTACTCTAAAGACTTATTTCTACACCCAGACTTCTTCAAACTCATGTAATTGATCCTTATGTCACTGATTGGCCACTCGCAGCACTGATTTATTTTTCCACCTTTTCACAATCATTTACTTGATAATTATGGCTATTCTGAGAAACCATGAACCCCATGTACAGAGAAGCCCCAATTCACAGGTAAATATTCTAATAAGTAGTTCATGACTAATATCTGAAAGTTCCAAAAATCACTTTAATTCTAGTGTCAATTTCCTTCCACAGATATTTAACCAGAGGACATACCCACAACACAGATTTCATGAGTTGTTAGTAGTACAGCAGGACTTCAACTTGCACAAGAGCCAATGAGAGGTACAATTTAATGACGTATCCAGCAAATATAGTATTATGTCATTAGTATTAATATCGTCTCTCACTGATATAAGCTCTCTATTATGCTGACAAAATAACCCCACCTTTGAGCTGTGTTGAGCCATGTTTGATATACTGAGGGCAATACAATGAAAATGTAGGGTTGACAGAAATAACAGTGCCTAATATTCCCCCAAAAGTTGCCCCACAATGCCTCACACTGACGGCTCTGGTCACAATTGTGATCTTGACTGCTCAGGGGTTATAAAGACCTTTAAAGCTATGAATCACTGAAGTGCCTTTTCCAGCTTGGCAAGCACACCTAGCAATTCACTGTTGTGCACAACTGCCCAGCTGACCATGGCAACCACATGCTCCATGCTCCAGATACCCTGCAACTTGGGGCAGACAGGAAATACTGGCTTTCCTGGGCCTGTCAGAAGCAGCAGATATGCAACAACTACAGACCAGCCTTGGATGTCCATAGATATGTGGCCATCTATAAGAAGACAGCAAGAGAGATGCAGGAGAAGGGGTACAACAGCACCACATGAAAGCAAAGGAACTGTAGCAGGCATTCCAAAAGGTCAGGGAAACCAACAGTCAATCAAGCACCAAGCTGCAGACCTGCCACTTTCCCAAAGAACTGTATGCCCTACTTGGCAGAAACCACGCCCACCACCCTGCACACTACTGTGGATATCTACAAGAAGCCTCAGTCATAGGTGCTGATGAGAACACCAAGAATGAAAAGCAGAGAAGACATGCAAATGGGCGAGGAGAAACCAGCCATGATGCAAACCTGGACCTGAGACTCTACCGCAGTCCAGATCGTGCTAACAGATAAGCCTGATGCAGAGGAAGAAACATTGGTAACAGTTTTATTTATTTTTCCTTACAGTGATTGTGCCCCCAACTTTGCAAGATACAGCTATGACTATTCATTAACTTACTTGCACTGTAATAGGTATGGAGCAAGGAAAAGAGGTAAAATTGGGGGAGCAACTATGTGGAGCAGTTTGTGCATGGGAATGTCTATGTACCCCTTCTCCTGCATCTCTCATGCAGGAATCCTCCTGAAACATTGTAGCCAGACAGACCAACCCCCCATCTCATCCATCTTATTTTGCTTCTCTGAGGTTCCTGAAGCATACAGGACAGAGAAGGAGTGATAAAATCAGCATAGTCTATGCTGGCTCATCTGATCCTGAGAAGCTGAAAACATAGATATGAGGAGAGAATGATTAAGGCAATAGGCTGGCCTCGAGGCTGCGAGAAGTACCCGGCTGGCACCCACGTTGATACGAACACACAGTCCCTGGGGGTATGTCTACACTACAAACGGACGTTAGTTCAAACTAACTTTCATAGGCACTACACTAGCGCTCCGTTAGTTCGAATTTAATTCGAACTAACGGAGCGCTTAGTCCGAACTAGGTAATCCTCATTCCACGAGGATTAAGCCTAGTTCGAACTTACTAGTTCGAATTAAGGCCTGTGTAGCCCCTTAATTCGAACTAGTGGGAGGCTAGCCCTCCCCAGCTTTCCCTGGTGGCCACTCTGGCCAACACCAGGGAAACTCATCTGCCCCCCTCCC